AAAAGAAATGTGTCACTTTCCTTTTGACCTCCTTATAAGAACAGTGCGCGGAGTGGCCGCGGACTCCGTGTTGGGAAGACTCTTGGGAGTAGTGGGGACTGTGGTTCACCAAAGGAGCAGCTGTCACCCAGTTCCAGCCGATTGTTGCCACGTGAACGTGGGCTCAGTGTGGCCAGGTCTTCTGACTTTTCACCAGAATCTGGAAATTTGGGTTTTTAAGGGAAATAGCCTGAATTTTAGATCTTGGCACCTAATTTGATTGTGCTTTGGATTTTTTTAGACATGATGCAGGCTGGCACTATATAGACCTGAGAGAACACGCTGCAGACATCTGGCTCCCAGACCAACCTGGAGTGGAGTCCTCAGTGTCCCACTTTCTAGCTTTGTGACGGCAGGCCAGCTTGTTTAGCTTCTCTGAGCCTCGGTCTCGTCACCTGTAAAATAAGGCTGAAGATAAAGTAGCTCCTGCTTCATGGGGTCCATTCCAAGCGTGTGGCAAGAGCTCACAGAGCATGGTCTGTTGGTATCATGTCCTTCTTGATGGGGCCTTTGTTAAGCAACCTGAAGTTTCCCTTCACGCTTCCCAGGCCCCCCAATGGTGGAACCAAGGGAAACCTTTGGGAGGTCTTTCAGCCTCCCAAGGATTACTTTCACTCCGCTACCTACCCTCTAAGTAACTGAATGTGCCTTTTGGGCAGGTGTAGACAATGCCCTAAAAAAAAGAGAAAACAAACCCCAAACCAGTTGTCATCGAGTCAGTTCCGACTCATAGAAACCCCATGTGTGTCAGAGTAGAACTGTACTCCATAGGGGGTTTTTAATGGCTGATTTTTTGGAAGCAGATCACCAGGCTTTTCTTCTGAGGCGCCTCTGGGTGGACTCAAACCTCCAACTTTTCAGTTAGCAGCCAAGTGCATTAACCACTCAGACCGCCCTGAGACTCCAGACAGTGCCCCAGCGTGCCCAGTGTCAGCTGGTGGAGAAGCATCTTTGGAGAGGGGCCCTCTCTCTGCCCACAGGCCCTCTCTGTTCCTCCTCTCCTTTGGATCTGGAGGAAGACAAGGAGTGCTCCTTGAATCTCCTCTCTACAGTGTTCTCTTTACTCTTGTAGGCTGCTAGGAAAACCGGTCCCTGCTGAGTCTCACTTTTTCCCCCTATTTGTTTCTTTAGAGATTAACAGAAAGAAAAGGTTTGCGTTTGGTCTGTTGTGGTCTGACCTTGCCGCAGAGTTAATTATCTGCTCTTTGTTGTATCACAGGATTTTTCTCCTGCGTTCAGCTTTGTGAGCCATGGTCTCGCTCTAGAAATTTGGCCTTGGGGAAGAGAGGAGGGATATTGAAGACTTTTCCCTGTCACGGGGTAATAAATGCAGGTGCCTGCAGGGACCAGGCAGGACCTGGAGATGGGCAAAGGGGCCATGTGAGACAGTAGGGAGGGGAGGGGACCATGGACACTGGCGAGCTCAGTTCCCATCTGGAGGGGGCCGCGGCTGCTCAGCCCCAGCCTTTGGTGCCTAGGACACAGACCCAATATTGCCAAAGCTGCTGACTTTTCAAGAGAAGTTATAAATCCAGACTTAATCACTTGGGAAAAAATTTTTTTTAACCATAGTCATGTATTTTATTTTGCAATTGTTTTAGATTTACAGAAAAGCTGCAAAGATAGTACAGAGACTCTGTATGCATCACCCAGCTTCCCCCATTGTTATCATCTGATGTCACCATGGTACATTTGTCACAATTTAGACACCAACACTGTCCATTTCTAGGAACTAAGTGCCAGACTGTGTTTGGATTTCACCAGTTTATCCGTTAATGTCCTCTCTCTGTTCCACAGCCCGATCTAGGCTGCCACGTTGCCTTTAGCTGTCATGTCCCCCAAGTCTCCTCTGGTTTGGTGACACTTCCAGTCTTTCCTTGTTTTTTGTGACTTGGACAGTTTTAAGGAGTACAGGTCAGGTGTTTGGTAGAAGGTCCCTCAATGTGGGTGTGTCTGATGTTTGTCTTACGGCTATACAGACCTGGTGATCCGCTCCTGTAAAGACGGCAGCCTGGGAAACCCTATGGGGCAGCTCTGCACTGTCGCTTAGGGTCACTCACTATGAGTCGAAGTTGACTCGACAGCATGCAACAACAGACTGGGATTAGGGGTTTTGGGAAAGAATACCACAGAGGGGGGTGCCTTTCTTATTATATCACATCAAGGGGGTACATGACATCCCCCTGACACTGCCGGGTTGTGAACCTGGATTGTTGGTCGAGGTGCTGTCTGCAGGTTTCTCCACTGTAACGTTGCTGTTTTCCCGTCCACACTCTGTTCAGGCCTTTGTTTACATTGCTATGGACGTGTGCATATTTATTTTGTACTTGGTGTCATAATCTAACACTGGGATTTTGTGGCCTCTGTTGTTCCATCTTTGGCCACTGGGCACTCTTCTGTGTTGGCTCCTGTGTCCCTTTGATGTACTCCCATCTTTTTGTTTTTTGAGCACTTCCTTCCTTTCTGGTACTCCAAGATGCTTCTGGATCATCTTGTATTTTTCCCCCCTCCAGCCCTGGAACTAGCCGTTTTTTTCTTAGGAGCCTCACTTGAATTTTAAAGTTGGAAATTAATTCAAATAAAAAACCAAAACCCTTTTGGGCTTAAAGAGGCACATCTGTGAGCCACATTCAGCCATAGAGGCTCTTGTTTAATCCTCATTGTAGTCTTGTGAAAGAGCCCTCGTGGCGCAGTGGTTAAGCGCTCACTGCTAACTCTCAGGTCAGTGGTCTGAACCCACCAGCCACTCTGCGGGAGAAAGATGTGGCAGTCTGCTTCCGTAAAGATTTACAGCCTTGCAAACCCTATGGGGCAGTTCAACTCTGTCCTATAGGGTCGCTATGAGTCGGGATTGACTCAGCGGCAATTGCTTTTGAGTGTAGTTTTGTGAGAGAAGCACTAGTATGATCCCCATTTTACAGATGAGGAGACTGAGGCACAGGGAGGCTAAGGGACATGGCTGGGGTCATGGGCAAGAAGGGTGGGAGAGGACAGCCTGATGCCAGGTCCCACCGTCTCAGGGCTGACACCTGACCCATGGCATCAGGACAAGGAAGCAGCAGCACCCCGAGGGCACTGGGCTTGGAGCCGGGTGCCCAGGGAGGTGGCAGTGCAATGCTGTGAACAGAGGAGGGAGCCGGAGAGGGGAGAGACATGGAGGACTCTGGTTTTACACACGCAGGGTCGTGGGGTGAGGGCCTCAGATGGCAGGACTCCTGAGAAACCCAGGACAAGGGGGAGAATGTCATTCTGAATGGTGGTGAGAGCAGAATTCCATGAGAACCACGAGAAATCTCATCTACTTCAGCAGAAAGAGGAGGAAAAACAGGTAGTTTTCTAAAACATTTTTAATATTAAAATCTTGTTCTGAGTTGTCCCCTTGTGATAGTTGTCTATTGCTGCAGAACAAGTTATCCCAAAACTTAGTGGTTTCGAACAGTGACATTTATCATCTGACAGTTTCTGCGGGTCAGGAATCCATGTGCAGCCTGGCCAGGTCGTCTGCTCGGGGTCCCTCACAGGCTGCAGTCATTTCCAGGCTCGGCCGGGGCGGGATCCACTTCCAAGCTCACTGTGTGGCTGTTGGCAGGACTCGGTTTCCCACGGGCTGTCAGACTGAGGGCCTCAGTGCTGTTGGCTGGAGGCCACCCCCAGTTCCTTGCCACGTGGGCCTCTCCAATGTGGAAACTTGCTTTATCAAAGCAAGCAATGGAGAGGGCAAGGGAGAGAGCGACTGGGGTAGGGGAGAGAGCTAGCAAGACGGAAGTGACGGTCTTTCCTAACCTAGGCTTAGAAGTGACCTTTCATCGCTTGCTGAGTTCTCTTCACTAGATGTGAGTTGGAATTGACTCAGTGACAAGTTTTTTAGAACTGAGTCACTGGGTCCAGCCCACCATCTAGGAGAGGGGCTTCCACAAGGGTGTGCCTCCCACACCCCCCCCGCCAGAATCTGTACTACACATCTTATCTTCACAGCATTCCACGGAAGCAAGGACTGTCATAACTGCATCACTGTCTAGATAGCAAGAGGACCCAGAGAGGTGCAGTGACTTACCCAGGGTCACACAGCTGATGGTTGGTAGAGCTAAATTCAAACTCTGGAGCCCCAGTTCTCAGTGGGCCCACTGGTGTTTCTCTGACTGTGGTTCCCAGATTCCTACTCCAGCATTGCTTTGGAGTCTTGGCTAAAAACACAGATTCCCAGGCAACCCCAGACAAACTGGACCAGACTTGGAAGGGCCTGGGGATGAGCATTTGACAGGCTTTTCCCAGGGGATTCAGATGCTCCTCAGAATTAGAGAGCAGTCTGTACGTATGCTGCCTCTCGGAACATACAGGCACGAGCATAAAAATGCACACGCGTGCGCGCACTGAGGAGTGAGGCAGGTCCTTGAAGGAAACCAGAGGCTTACATGTCTGATTTTGGTGCTCGAGGGAGTGACATGGTTTCTGAAGTTCTCAGTTGGTTTTGGGGTCTTTCCAAGCAGAAGCTGGAAATTAAACGACATGATACACAGGAGAGATTGAGCAAGTGCCTGCAAGTAGGAAGCACTGAATACAGGAGAGCTGTGGTTCGTTACCATTATTAATGGATATTATCAACTCATTAGTGTTAGTAATTCCAACGCAAAGAAAACTCGACTTACCTCGACTCTGGTTTAGAGAAGAGATTTTGAGTCTTTCCATTTGCTCCAGCTCCGTAGTTTAGAACATGAAGATATTTAGTTTGGGCCTGGGGTTGCCGGAGTTTGGGGGGAAACAGTTAATATGCAGTCAGTCAGTTGTACGTGCATTGGTCTGGGTTCCGGAAGGTGTGCGGTCGGTCCCCGTCTGGGCACTTGGCTTATTCCTGGGCCAGTCCTTGGGCATCAGCGGGCCTGTGGAGACCCCGGCCAACCCCAGAGGCAGGCGAGCGGCGCTGTGATGATTCAAGGGCCTGATGAGCTGTTTGTTCCTTGCAGATCAGGAACGACACTTCGCAGATCTTGGAGGAAAACATCCCACTCCTTAAGGCCAAAGTGACGGAAATGAGTGGCGTCTATGCCAAAGTGGACCAGCTAGAGGTGCGTCACGATAATGAACGTTTTTTGAGAGACCGAAGGTCTTGTTCTGGCTGTTTTACCCTCTCTGCCAAGATGCTGAAGCTGGCCTTGAGAGTGTTATGGTTAGACCCAGTGGAGGGGGCTGGTGGTGAAAGGAGGTCTGTGCGCGTGTGGTACTTTAAAAAGTATGAATTTGGTCCCGACATTTAAACGTTGGGAGACTTTACATATATAAAAATGCAAATTTTAAGCTTCTTTTGAAAATTCAGAAGATCTGATAACCCACGGCCCACATTTCTTTAAATGCTTTAATCTATTTTTAAAGTATAAACACATAAAGGGCACACATCTTAAGTGTATAGTTCAATGGATTTTTACATATATCAGCATGCATTTCAAATCCACCAGTGGGAGAAAAGATCTAGTGATCTGCTCCTGTAAAGATGACAGCCTAGGAAACCTTGTGGGACAGTTCTACTCCGTCACACGGGGTTGCTATGAGTTGGAATCAACTCAATGACACACAATGACACAAAACCCAAACCAAACCTGTTGCCATCAAGTTGATTCTGACTCATAGCAACCGTGTAGGACAGAGTAGAACTGTCCTGCTTAGTTATCTCATGCTGCTGTAACAGAAATACCACAAGTAGATGGCTTCAACAAACAGTATTCTCTCACAGTCTAGGAGGCTATAAGTTGGAATTCAGGGTGCCAGCTCCAGGGGAGGCTTTCTTTCTCTGTTGGCTCTGGGGGAAGGTCCTTGTTATCAGTCTTCCCTGGTCAAGGAGCTTTGCAGTGCAGGGACCCGGGGTCCAAAGGATGAGCTTATCTCTTGGCTCTTGTTTCTTGGTGGTATGAGGTCCCCATGTGTCTCTGCTGGCTTCTCTCTTTTGTATCTCAAAAGAGATTGATTTAAGACACAACCTAATCTTGTAGATTGAGTTCTGCCTTATTAACATAACTGCCTCTAATCCTGCCTCATTAACATCATAGATAGAGGCAGGATTTACAACACATAGGAAAATCACCTCAGATGACAAAATGGTGGACAGTCTCACAATACTGGGAATCATAGCCTAGCCAAGTTGACAGATATTTTTTGGGGACACAGTTTAACCCATGACATGCCCCGTAGGGTTTCCAAGGAGCAGCTGGTGGATTTGAACTGCTGACCTTTTGGTTAGCAGCCAGATGCTTAACTGCTGCGCCACCAGGGCTCAACAATAACACAACATGTGGAAAAGACCCAAATCAGGAAATAGGACATTTCCAGCCCGTGGGCCATGTTCTTGCACCATTCTTGAAAGAACGTGCGGAGCTGAGTGTCAGCCGCCCTTAGGTGGGGCATGTACTCTGCAGCTCACTGCAGTACCCACCCTGCCCTCTTGCCTCACTGCTGACTTGTCTCACCCACCATCTCTTCTCCTGCCTGGGCACTGGACCGAGATGTAGCAGATCTCTTCTCCTGTTTGTCACACTGCAAAGGCAGTATCCTCATGTCCCCCTGCCTCCCGGAGTTGCAGAAACTCCGAGATCCAGGCCCCTTTCCCCAGTCACACAGCTGATTATATGAAGCCAGGACGCGAACTCACACCGACAAAAGCCCGTGCCCTCATTCGACCTGGTCCCTCGGCTTGGCATGGTGGCTTCTTCCACGCGGGAGGATGGGGAGACTGGGAGGAGCTTGCGGTTTAATGGCAGTCATCTGGGCAGAGGAGACATGGTGGGGGGGTGCCCTCTGAGCTGCAGAAGGGGAGGAAGTGTAGCAGTCGACATTGGAGTTAATAGAGAATTAGCTTTCTTGTCAGCAGAGAATGAGGCCGGAATATAATTAAAACCTTGCCCTTGGAATAGGTGGTTAATTTGAATTTTATTCCACACGTTGAAAGAAGGAACAAAAACGTGAGGATTTGCAGCTTGATTCCTGTCTCGCTGAGTTGGCCTAGCTCTCGAGACCAGTTCTTCTCGGAGCAATCACTCTGCTCACGTTTCTCGAGGGCCTACTGTGCGCCACTATGAGAAAGACAATTCCAGTCCATGGCCAGATACAGCCAGGAGAGACACTCAGCAGGTCATTAATGTACAAGTTTCTTACGGCCACTGTAATGAATCACCACACATTGAAAGGCTTGAAACAACACACGTTTATCACTGTAGAGTTCTGGAGGGCAGAAGTCCAAAATGGGTCTCACTGGGCTAGAGTCCAAGCGTTGCCATGGCTGGTTCCTTCTGGAATCTCTAGGGGAGAATCCAATTCTTTGCTTTTTCCAGCTTCTAGAGGCCATTGGTAGGTCAGTGGTAGAATTTTTGCTTCCTGTGCAGGAGACCTGGGTTCGATTCCTGGCCAATGCACATCATGCACAGCCACCACCCATCTGTCAGTGGAGGCTTGTATGCTGGTAGGATGCTAAACAGGTTTCAGCGGAGCTTCCAGGCTAAGACGATCTAGGGAGAAAGGCCTGACAATCTGCTTCCAAAAATCAACCAGTGAAAACCCTGTGGATCACAATGGTCTGATCTGCAACTGATTGAGGGGATGGCACAGGACTGGGCGGGATTTTGTTCTGTTGTGCATGGGGTTGCAATGAGTAGGGGCTGACTTCGTGACAGCTAGCAACAATAGAGACCTCCTGTATTCCTTAGCTTGTGGCCCCTTTCTCTCCCTTCAAAGCCAACAATACAGCATGTTCTCTTCTCTCTGCTTGTCTTAGTCATCTAGTGGTGCTATAACAAATACCATAAGTGGATGGCTTTAACAAAGAGAAATTTATTTCCTCACCATCTAGTAGGCTGCAAGTCCAAATTCAGGGTGTCAGCTCCAGGGGAAGGCTTTCTCTGTGTCGGCTCTGGAGGAAGGTCCTTGTCATCAGTCTTCCCTTGGTCTGGGAGCATCTCAGCGCAGGAACTTCAGGTCCAAAGGACACACTCTGCTCCCAGCACTGCTTTCTTGGTGGTATGAGGTTCCCAGCTCTCTGCTTGCTTCCCTTTCATCTCTTGTAAGATAAAAGATGATGCAGGCCACATCCCAGGGAGAATCCCTTTATATTGGATCAGGGATATGACCTTAGTAAGGGTGTTACAATCCTACCCTTTAATCCTCTTTAACATAAAATTACAATCACAAAATGGAGGACAACCACACAATACTGGGAATCATGGCCTAACCAAGTTGATACACACATTTTGGAGGGGGACATAATTCAGTCCATTACACTGCTTTCTCTGCTTCTGTCCTTACATCTCCTCTTTTTAACCCTGACCCTCCTGCCTCTCTCTTATAAGGATCCTTGTGATGGCATTGGGCCCACCTGGATAAGCCAGGATCATCTCCCATATCAAGGTTGTTGACCTTAATCACAGCTGCAGAGTCCCTTTTACCATGTAAGGTGACGTATTCACACGTTCCAGGAATTAGGATGTGGACGTCTTTGTGGGGGCCATCTTTGGGGAGCCATTATTCTACCTACCACATTGTCAAGACTGAGTTAGAGATAGGTGGGTGCTATCAAGATAAAGCAGTGACCAAGGTGTGGACTCTCTAGGACCCCTGGAAGGTGAGTGAAGGAGAGCAGAGGGCACAGCTCAGGCAAGGGCCCAGCTAGGAATGATCCAGGCTCTGGGGCTGGAAGGAGATTGGGAGGCTGGAAGAACCCTGGGGTGGTCAGATTATGGGGGTAGGGGGACAGACCCAAAGTGGGGCTGGAGAAATTGGGCAGCTAGAGCCAGGTTGTCCAGGTCTTGCTGTCCAAGGTGAGGATTTTGGCCTTTGTCCTGAGAGGAAGCAGGCCATTGAGAAGGCAGTTTTGCCTAGTGGTTAGCATGTAGCCTTGGCACTAGTGACGTTTTGTGGGGGGTTGCCCTGTGCATTGTAGGAATGGTTGTCATCGTTGTTATTGTCCACAAGGCTGAGGGAGGCTGAATCTGCCCAGCTGGTGGGGGGAGTGGGGGACAGGGATGACCTAAGTGTCAGGCCTCCACAGAGCCTCTGATCAGTGTAACCCACCAGGCCGGGGCATGGAAACCGCAGGGTTCCCGCTTAAGCTAGACTTGGCCTGTTATCAGTGTTAAATAAAAACTAGTGTTTAGTGAGCATCTGCCAGGTGCCAGGGACACCGAGTGCTTTACCTGTGAGGACTCACGTTACCCTCACAACAACCCCAGGAAGAAGGTCCCAGGGCTGTTAGTTCCATTTTATAGAAAAAGCAGCTGAGGCACAGGGAGGGGCAGTGATTTGCCCAGGGTCACACAGGTAGGAAGTGGTGCAGCTGGGGTGGTCAAGGCAGTGTCCTTGACCACTCCTTGCTGCTGAGGCAGGCACCTCTGGACGGGCCCTGCTCCCACCCCGGGCCTTTGGCAGTGGGTACTCACAGGGCTTAGCACTTACAGACAGATTTACAAACAATGGGGCTTGCTTTGTTCTCTCCCATCCCTCCCTCCCTCCCTTCTTTCCTTCCTTCTCTTCCTCTCTACCTATTTCCTTCCTCCTTTTCTTCCCTCCTCTTCCCTTCCTCCCTTCCTCTTTCCCTCTCTTTTCCTTTCTTCTGTCTCTTCTCTTCTGTCCCTCCCTCTCTCCTTTCTTCCTTCTAACTGATTATAAAGGTAGTACATTTTCAGTGAAGAGAAAAAAATATACAAATCACCCGTAATCCCAGCCCCCAGCCCCGGGGAGTTAAGCTCTGCTGTTGGCCCTCCTTCTGTTCCTTGCCCCAGTCCTGCCACCCTGGCCCCTGTATGGGAGGGAGACGTGTGTCCCGGCCTCTCCTTGGCCGTGGCTTGGCTGGGCTGCCCTTGTTGGCATTCTGGGGGCCTTTCAGAACTCGCAAGGCGCGCATTCCTCCGTGTTGCCTCACACTCCCCACCAGATTGGCCTTAACGCAGGAGCATAAAATTGGAATCGGCTGGAGGAAGGGAGGACAGGACTCCTCTCTTCTGTGTTTTACGACCAGATGTGCTGGCCGAGCAAGGCCTCCGAGCCTTTGTGGGGAAGCTTCCCGCCTTGGCCTGGGGCGCCCCCACCCCCATTGTGGTGTAGTCAATCAGCTCTGCGGCTGCAGAACCCCAGGGCGGTGGCAGCAGTGGCCGGATAGCAGATGCCACCATCTTGGATTTGCCCAATTTCTTTCTGCCTAGGTAGGATGCATGCTTGCTTTCATTCATTCATTCAAACATTCATTTATTTACACATCCACCATCCAGCTGAGCCCCTCCTAGCAGACCAGCCTCTGGTCTTGGCCTTGGGATGCAGCAGCGAACCATGCTGACCCAGCATCCGTTCTCTCAGTGCTTACCCTCTAGTGGGAGGTGTCTGGGAATAGTAGACAAGTAAGAAATTCCATAAGGTGATGAGGGCTGTGTAGATGAGGAAAGGTGATGAGGGCTGGTGAGTTGACAGACAGTGACTTGGAGGCTGCGTCTGCTCAAGTGGTCTGGAGAAGCCTCTCTGAAGAGGAGGCCTGAGAGACAAGCAGGGCCCACCTGAGAAGGGCAGAGAGAGGGCATTGCAGGCATGGAGAGAGCTGGTGCAAAGGCCCTGTGGCAAGTGCCACCTGGTGCTTGGAAGAAACCAAAGCGAGGCTGGCGTCGCTGCGGTGTGGACTGAGAAGCAGAGGGTGGGGCCGGATAGAAGGAGGCCTTGCAGGCCACGGGAGGACCATAGGGTTTTTTTCCCAGTGAAGAGGGGGCTCACTTGGTAGCGCCTAGCACTGAGATGTCCTTCTTCCTGTCCCAACACAAGAAAACTTCTTCCGTTTTACTTAGAACAAAGGAGGCTCACGGAGGTGGTGATTTGTCCAAGATGGCACCAGAGTCGCTGGTTTTGGTGACCTTATCCATGTACACGCATGCACGCACACACGCACACACGCACACACATGCAGAGCATAGAGAAAGGCGTGAACAAACACCAGAGGTTGCAAATGGATGGCCTGAAACCACAGCCTGCGGCTGAATTTCACTGGGCCTGCATAGGAGCTTTTAATAATGTGGATTTATTGCTAACATTGATGAATTAAAAGAGTTTTACATAAAATCTGAATATCAGTTTCTTTGTTTAAAAAAAATATTAGCTAGCATCTGTTGAGTCTTTAATATGTGCTAAGCACGTAGCTTGCTTAGCAAGGTTGATATTGTTACTGTCCCCATTTCACAGATAAGAAAACTGAAGCTAGTAGAAATTAAGTAACTTGTTGAAAGGCACACAAGTACTAAGTGGTAGAACCTGGATTCTAATCCAGAGTCTGACGCCAGAGTCTTTTCTTTTTTTTAATTGGAAGTTAGAGCTGAGTAGCCCCCTGTGGGCCTGGAGCAAGCTCGCCCATTCACCTAGTCCCTACTTGGCCCTCTTCCCTCCTGGCTCCTGTTGGCTTTTGAGTTTGAGACCCCCTGATATACATCAAGGAGGAGCCCTGGTGGTGCAGTGGTTAAGTGCTCGGCTGCTAACGGAAAGGTTGGCAGTTCGAACTTACCAGCTGCTCTGTGGAAAAAAGATGTGACAGTCCGCTTCTGTAAAGATTACAGCCTTGGAAACCCTGGGAGGACGTTCTACTCTGTCCTTTAAGTCGGAATCGACTTGACAGCAACAGGTTTGATTTTTGTTTTGATACACATCAACTAATAAAGTGAGCATTTTCACAGTTTTTCAAAATAATCCATTTTCCATAAGAAAGGCTTTGAAATCTAATAGATGTACATCTGAGTCCCCTGTCTGCCACTTCCTAGCTGTGTGACTTTGGGCAGGTCACCCAACCTCTCTGAGCCTCGGTTTTCCTCCTCTGTAAAATGGAGGCTAGCTGTAGGGTCACCATGGGGACAAGGTGGGAGGACACAGGAGAGGCTTGACCCGGCCCCCACTGGAAGCTGCTCCTGCTCTGCCAGGGTCTCTGAAGGGGCCTCTCCAGCTAGGCAGAGCCCTGGGACCACTGGGAGGTGGTGGGTGGTAGTGATTAAGGACCTGGTGTCTCCGCCAGCACCAGCTGGGGAGGGCAGCCAGGAATGCACTCCAATCTGAGGCAGATGTGGCATCACGCTCTCCTCTTCCCCACCCCGCCCCCCACCCATCAGGCCTTCGTCAAGATGGTTGGGCACCACGTCTCCTTCCTGGAGGCCCACGTGCTTCAGGCTGAGAGGGACCACAGGGCCTTCCCACAGGCGCTGCAGCGGTGGCTGGTCTCTGCAGGGCTCCCCTCCTTCAGGAACGTGAGTACCCAGCCCAGGAGCACGGGGCGGGCCTTTCCCCACCTCCCACCCCCTCGCCAGGCCCCAGAGCAGGGAGAGGGGCTCCGGAAGCATAGTTCAAAGGGCACATTTCATTTCTGCAGACAGGAAGTGGTGTCTGCTTGCCCGCCCGCCTGACTGGCCAGCACGTAGGGGCTGGGGAGGGGGCTGGGATGGGTCTGCCGTCCCCACCTCCTATGTCCCTTCTTGCTCCAAACTTCCATGCCTCACGTTCTCATTCAACAATTATTGAGCACCTGCTGCCTGCAGAGTGCTGTGGTTATCACAGTGGGCAGGGCAGGCCCGGCCCCTGCCCCCCAATCCCATCCTTATGCACCTAAGGACAGTCCTCAGGGCCATGACCAGAATTCTAGCCAGCTGCTCCTTCCTGGGGCCCGCGTCAGCCTCCAGCAGACCAGAGAGGCTGGAGAAGTTGGACCATGTCCAGCCTGCCTGTGGCCCCTTGCAGCTTACAAAGACCTTTCCCTCCCCACACCCCCTCTGCTTTCCTGGGGTCCTCCTCACTACCCTGTGTGGAGGGAAGGATCACTGTGTCTCTTTTACTGATGAAAAAACCGAGGCCAGTCTGCAATTGAGGCCTTGGACGTTTAAGCCACAGCCTGTCTTTCTCTTTCTGTCGTGTCATCTGTTGGTCCCCTGGTCCAGTGGCTCTCCATTGGGGGGATTTTGACCCCCAGGGACATTTGACAGTGTCTGGAGACGTTTTTGGTTGTCACAGCTGGAGGTGAGGGGAGCTACTGGCGTCTGGTGGGTAGGAGCCAGGCATGCTGCTCACCACCCTGCAATGCACGGAACAGCCCCCGCCATAGAGAATTACCTGGCACCAGGTGTCAGTAGTGCTGGGTTTCAGAAACCCTGCCCCAACTGTATTTGCTGATGACGACGATGTGGATAGTCATGGTAAAGATGGTCTAAGTGTTTCAGATGCTCTATGGCATCTCATTCTCCCAGCAGTCTTTTGAGGAGGATACTTCTATCATCACCCCCATTTTATACGTGAGGAGACTGAGGCTCAGGAACGGGAAGGGACTTGCCCGAGGGGTGACCAGGCTGGACTGGGGCCCCGGTTGGCCTGTCTCTGGGACCTTGCCCTTAATAGGCAAGGTGTGTGCCCAGCTGGCTGCCCTGTCCTGTCCCCCAGTGAGGTCTCCCGCCATTCCTGGAGCTCTCCTTATGTTCCCCCCGGTCCTCTGTTCCTCTTGCCTGGGTGCCTATCCCCCACTCCCAGGCCCACATCTCCACTTTATGTTATCACAACGACTCGTTTATCGAGTGTCTACAATGTCCACGCACTGTGTTCGGCATTTTCTGTGCATTTACTCGTTATCCTTTCCCCAATCCTGTGCCCTAGGTGTTAAGATTACCCCCATTTTATAGATGAAGGACAGGAGTTTGGGAAGTTTCTGGTGTCACAGTGCTGAAGCCCGTGGGCAGACTTAGGCCCATGTAATCACTTTCTGTTTGAACGGACAATGGGATTTCACAATGGGACTGGGAATGCCTCCCTGAGCATGTACTCTCAAGTCCTTGCCACGGCCCTGTGGCTCCACCTGGCCTTAAGCCTACCTGCCCTCAGATGTGTGACCTGCCCAAGGCCAGTAACAGCTAGGCAGTGGCCACACAGATCTCACAGTCAGGGAACTCCTGTTGTTCCTTTGGAGCCCGTGTTAATGCCGCCTCCTGCAAGAAGTCACCTGAAATTGCCTCCTCTCCAGACAAACGTGATCTGTCTGTCTTCCAGCAATACTGAAGCTATGTCGTGAGCTGCTTCCTTTGTCTCCCCACCCTCCAAGCTCTTGTGACCATCCCTGGGTGACCAGGAGATCCCCAGTCACATAACGCTCTCCCCACTGTTGGCTTTAGGAGCACATTGGAGGAGGAAGGACAGAGGATCTGGCTGCGCATGGCCTGTAGCTGATGTGCTAAAAATGGGCCCTTGCACACTTGCTCTATAATCCATAGAGTTGTCCCCATGGGCTTGGCACAATGTCCCCACTTACAGAGGTAAGGATTGAGGCTTGAAGTGGGAGAGTCGTGGACCTGAATTCAGAGCTAGGTTTGGAACCCTGGCCACCGGCCCCTACTCCTGCCACAGGACCCCGCCAGGTGTGGTTGGGCGTGCCGGGACCTGCACCCTCTTGTCTGGGCCAGACTCCAGGCCAAGCTGGGCCTTGGAGAGGCCCCCTCAGACCTACCTGTGGCGACTTGTTCCAGGAAACAGTCCCGGCCAGGGGAGGTGAGTCATTTGGTGTTGATCTTGGCCCCCAAGAGGGCTTTGTCTTCTGAAGGCAGTGCCAGGGAGAGTATACAACAGTGTGGAGGCCGGGATGTGAGGGCCCCAGGCCCCAGGGTGCGAGCGGTGGGCTTCCCCGGAATAATCATCTAGGCTTACGTTGGAGCCTGGCTCTGCAGGCGCCCCCCACGTGGAGCTGTGTCCCCTCACACCCCTCCCTGTAAAGGAGGTCCGGTCCTGGCCTCTGTTTTACAATGAGGAAACAGGCACCGAGAGGTTGCAGTTCTGGCCGGAGGCCCCCTGTGAGTGGAGGAGCTGGGAATCAAAGTCGTGATACCCGAGCCTGGAGTCAGTGCTTGGCCCAGTCTCTCCCTGCGGGGTCTGCGTGCCTTTTCTGACCACTGGGACTGCTGTGTGAGAAGGTGGGGTCTTCGGGGACCATGGTGGCTCTCAGTTTCTTTCATCTGGATTGCCCCCAAGCTGGGACTTTGCACTGTCTCAAGTTCCCTCAGCGCCGCCTGGGGTGGACGCTTCCTTTCAGCCGCTGCTGTCGCCTTAGAGTTGTGAGGCCTTTAAGGCAGAATCCACAGCAGGCCCTCCTCCTGCGGTCTGCCTCAGCTCTGCCCAGGCCTGAGGGCCCCAGGCAGCTGTGGTTCAGACCTTTGGTTTTCCTATTCTTCCCTCCTCCCCATAGACCCCACCTTTTGTCAGAGAGATGTTTAAGGTGTCCCCTGACCCAGGCTGGCCCGAGGCCACGAGAACTCAGGCCCGAGCTGTGGGCAGGCAAATCTGGTCACGTGGGACCCTTGGCTGCCCGCTCTCACAATCCCATTCCACCTTCCTGCCCCCACTGCCCTCCCTTGCCTCCTTCCCGCGTCCCTTGGAGTAGAGAGGGCTGGGGTGGGGGCAGGGGACTTGGGGGCCTCGTGGGAATGCTGCGTGAAGTTCTGCCCTGTGGGGTGAGCCACAGCACTCCCCGGAAGCCCATCCCCCAAAAGAAGCAGGCTGCCGGCCTTTGCCCCCAAGTCTGCCAGAGCCAGGGGAGGGTGGGTTCCTGGAGGGAGACGCCTCAGCCTTCACCCCTGGAGCTGTGGAGGGGCCTCTTGGGGTGTACTTTGTCAGGCTGCTCTTCACCTGGGACAGGAGTTCCCTGGGGGTGGAAGTTGGTCTTTGTTTTTCTAACTCCCGCCAGCCCTGCCTTACCCATCTCATTTCCTCTTCCTCACTTTACAGACTTGGTGGGGAGGCCGGGGAGTGGGGGGCTGGGAAAGAGTCCCACCCCCTTTTCTCCCCCAGCACCAACCACCAGGCCTGTCCTGCCCTCTGCTGCCCTGGTGACCAGATGCTATGTGGGGAGCGTGGCCCTGGCCTGGGGTGCCATGAGGCAGGCTGGATGGAGGAGGAGGCCTGGGGACACTGGTAAACCATCTTATAGTGAGACCCACCTCCCAGGCCCAGGCCTTTTACCTCTGACGCTGAGCTACCCGAGAAGCATGCGGTGGGGTCCCCAGCCTGGCACCCTGAGGACTTGCTTGGCGGTAAGCAGTCCCGCGGCGAGGCCAGCATAGAAAGCCCCACTGTGTGTGAGGCACTGCCCTCAGCTCATCGATCCTCACAGCCCCCCACGAGGGAGGGGCTGCTTTTATCCCCATTTTACAGATAAGGAAAATCCCCCAAGCTCACACAACTGGGCCTTGGGATATGAAGTCATACTTTTAAGTTGATCCCATATGGCCTTGGGAAAGAGTTATGATCCCTCCCTCATGGAGCTCGCTTCTGGTGGGAGAATACAGTGACCAAATACGAGAGTGAAGTAGACAGTTGCTTATGAAGGGGCCATGTAAGCTGGGACCTGATGATGAGGAAGGGTTGCTCTGGAGCCGGGGGAAAAAGAGGGCTTGTTTCCAGCAGAGGGAACCACAGGTGCAAAGGCTCTGAGCCAGGACCAAGCATGGCATTTGAGGAATGGCCTTAGGTCCAGAGTGGTTTGACCAAATGAGCAAGGGGAGAGTGGAGGGGAGTCAGGTCAGAGGGGTGGTGGGAGCCAGGCCATGCAGGACCTCGAGGCACACAGAGGAGTTTGGATTCAAGGGCAGCAGGGAGCCATGGAAGGCTTTATAGCAGGGGGTGATCCAGTCAAATTGGCTTCCCTTGGAGAATTGCCAGCACTCATTCTCCACCTTGAGCCAAGGCTGGTGGTCAGGGTGTAGGGCATCTTGTTTAGACTTGAACACAAGAGCTAATCAGGGCACGTGGGTGCCCTCCAAGCCGCAGGACTCCATTGTCAGGAGTGCATTCCCTGAGGCCCCTGGAAACCCTCACCTCGTTGGGTCTTGGGACTCTGGTCCCACCAGAGGAGAGAAGAGAGGCCCCAGGTGGAGGGCTCAGGTCTCTGTACAAGGGCCTGGGGTCCCAGAGACCCTGCTGAGGAGGAGGATGGGTCTGTCCTCACATCAGGGAGTCATCCCAGTCCTGTGTGGAAGCGAAAGTGTGATTCAGAGCTGGACACGCAGGCCTCAGCGGTGCAGGGGGCACCGCGCCTGGCCGTGGCCCGGGGGCTGCCGGGGTGTTCTGCCCGATGTGCCAGGCCCTACTCGTGGCACACGCGTGCCCAGAGGCACGGAGCAGAACTTGCTAATTTGTTGTAAACCACTGTTTGTTTTCTGCTGAGCCAAAACATCTTGTTCACGAGGTGTCATTTTGATTAATTTTTCCGATGGAGAAGAGT